TGATGACAAATGCACAACTGCATTTAATTATTATGGCCGCGGTAGAAGAGGTAAGCGTCTCAAACAAACCCTGTGTTGGCTTTAAATCGCTAGAAGTTTGAGCAAGTCGGTTTATCGGTCATTTTATTTTGCATATAATTTATTTGCGAATCAGGGAACAATAAATTGTAGGTCATATTTTATCTGTGATAACCAATTGTCTTCAGCTTATATAAATATATAAGGAGACGGTGAAATGTCTGATCTACATATATTAAACCGAAAACCAAGACTTTCAAGTTCTGAAGACAGAATACAACAACCGCCTGAGCAGAACCACTTTGGCTATTTGGTGGCAGTATTAAAATATATGGAAAAAACAAGAGCGAGGTATATAATAAGACAAGAGTTACCGTTGATCTCAGTTTCAGGATCAGGGTGTTGAGCTGCTCTGTGAATTTGCTTCCCACACTGATGAAGTTTATTTTGCCTGCAATGTTCCGTTGAATTTTCTTGAGCGTCCAAGACTTCGACTCAGTTGGCTGAATGTAAATCAAAAGAATTTTTTGTATATTTTACTCTAATCAATCATAACTACTGTCAAGTAGTAAGTAAGTGTTTAAGTATTGCCTCACATTGTGCATCTGCCGCAGCAGCTTGTTCTTGCTAGAGTGCAGCAGCTCCTCCAGAGACGAGTGTAGAGCATCGTTATTCTTTGAAATAAACTTCTCTGTGGTGTAGCAAACTGGTCCAGCAAAATGGTACAGCACAAAGCCCTCACTGTCCCGTAGCTTGAGTTTTAATTTCCTTGGGACCTGACAAGAAACACACATGAAACAAAAAGGATTACAAACTATATCTAAGGCTTATGACATCTTGATTAAGGTGGTTTTTTCACACAAAATACAAGACAAACCGTTTGCACAACTGGGGCTTGCGGTTGACAAAGTAAAAATTTTGAATATTCCGACAGTGTCTTCTGGTAACGGATAAAACGCGCGCGCTCCGTCAGACCCCAAATGCATGGCCACAGCAAACACGTATGAAAATCATATTTTTGGGAAATAGGCAAACCTCCGTAAG